GTGTAAGGAGAGGAGGAGTTTGAGGTAATCAGTCCCTCAGCCTGGTGTCGATGTGTTCAGTCCATCAATCTTGTAGAAAGTACAGCATAGGGCCATAGAAGTGGCTTACATACTGTAGTCAGGTGAGGCGAAGCAGGAGGAGGCGGGGTCATAGTGGTACCATCCACTTGTCGAAGTAGGTCTTTGTCCAAAGGTTGGACAAGTTTTGAAGAATTCTTTGTATCAAGATCCCATGATGCTGCAGTGTCTGACAGGTGTGATGAATGGTTTTGAAAACAAACAAGTTGAAGAATTGAGACACTTATGCAACATATGGGTAATCTTTACTTTATTGAAGAAACGTTTCGCCACAAAGTGGCTTCATCAGTCCAATACAAATCAGAAGGGTGTAAGGAGAGGAGGAGTTTGAGGTAATCAGTCCCTCAGCCTGGAGTCGATGTGTTCAGTCCATCAGTCTTGTAGAAAGTACAGCATAGGGCCATAGGAGTGGCTTATATACTGTAGTCAGGTGAGGCGAAGCAGGAGGAGGCGGGGTCATAGTGTCTTAGTTCTTCAACTTGTCGGTTTTCAAAACCATTCATCACATCTGTCAGACACTGCAGCATCATGGGATCTTGATACAAAGAATTCTTCAAAACTTGTCCAACCGTTGGACAAAGTCCTACTTTGACTAGTGGATGGTATCACTATGACTCCGCTTTCTCCTGCTTCGCCTTACCTGACTACTGTATATAAGCCACTTCTACAGCCCTATGCTGTACTTTCTACAAGATTGATGGACTGAACACATTGACTACAGGCTGAGCGACTGATTACTTCAAACTCCTCCTCTCCTTACACCCTTCTGATTTGTATTGGACTGATGAAGCCACTGTGTGGCGAAATGTTTCCTCAGTAAAGATTTCCATATGTTGCATAAGTGTCTCAATTCTTCAACATGATGCATTGTTGCATTATCAATAAGTAGCAGTGTGTTATAGGCAAGTCATGGTCAACTTATTTTTTTTGAACAGCACAGTAAAAATAAGTCTGAACTAATAAAAAAATCACATGATGCTACCCTTGATTTTATGTTTGCATGCCTAACTACAAGATTATCTTTGTTGATGCCTTTCATAGTTCTCAGATTTTCAAAGTGGTAGACTGAAGAGGATTTAGCTGGAAGTCATCTGTTGTCTTGCCTCTTAGAAGAAGAGTTTGTTCGTTTTAGGTCACTTTGAATCCTTGAGCCCTCTTTTCAACTTTTGATGCAAAACTCTTGACTAGCCATTTTCACTACAGCTCAGTTTTGTCAGTATCGAAGACTTGCTGAGATGTGTTATCACCTTCCTTTATGATTTTCATGAAGGCATTATAAGATGAGGCAATTGTCTCGTAATCAGCACTCACAGCTTCACAACTCTGTGATCCTTCTGTAAGCATAGGCACTATATTCATTTATGTACTAGGTGGCATATGTTGTTGGGTCTTTTTCTTGATACACAGACTGAAATGTCTTTCTATATCTTCCATCAACTTAATCCATGTGCAAGTAACTATAGCAGCAGCACTGTACTTGCACACCCTGTACTTTCTGCAACCTCACATTTAGGCACACTAGCCTATATGGTAGATTTTGACATACCAATAGGACATGTAACATCACCTGGTTTTTAACTAGCATCAACACCAAAAAAAAAAAAAAAAACCCTTCCTCTTATCTTTATATCACTGAATTCCTTACCACTTTGTGGTCTTTTGGAAATTGGTAAAATGTACGGAGTGCCTTGAACCTTGGACAAGAAGTAAAACATGTGGTCTATTGTTATGTGACTTCTTGTAAAGGCTTTTGATTCAGTCTTGTTATTTTGCTAAGTAGTCCCATCACTTTTGGAAGTGAACCAAATTCCCTGTGTATTCATTTATCCCTGAGGATGCAGTAGTCTCCTTTCTCAAATGGTATGAGAATTTATTTTATGAGCAAAGGTGATCCTATGGGAGACACTGATCTTTATTTTTTTTTTTTTAGCCTTGGTTGTTATTCAGAATTACAGTCCTTGATGGATTGCTGTACCTTGGTACAGTGGTACTCCGAGTTTCGTACAGCTCCCAACTCGAGCAATTTTTTTTTTTTTTTTTAACACATCGGCCGATTCCCACCAAGGCAGGGTGGCCCGAAAAAGAAAAACTTTTATCATCATTCACTCCATCACTGTCTTGCCAGAGGGATGCTTTACACTACAGTTATAAAACTGCAACATTAACACCCCTCCTTCAGAGTGCAGACACTGTGCTTCCCATCTCCAGGACTCAAGTCCGGCCTGCCAGTTTCCCTGAATCCCTTCATAAATGTTACTTTGCTCACATTCCAATAGCACATCAAGTATTAAAAACCATTTGTCTCCATTCACTCCTATCAAATATGCTCACGCATGCTTCCTGGATGTCCAAGCCCCTCGCACACAAAACCTCCTTTACTCCCTCCCTCCAACCCTTCCTAGGCCGACCCCTACCCCGCCTTCCTTTTCCCTCCACTAAAGATTTATACACTCTCGAAGTCATTCTGTTTTGTTCCATTCTCTCTATGTGTCCAAACCACCTCAACAACCCCTCCTCTGCCCTCTGGATAATAGTTTTGGTAATCCCACACCTCCTAATTTCCAAACTGCGAATTCTCTGTATTATATTCACACCACATATTGCCCTCAGACATGACATCTCCACTGCCTCCAGCCTCCTCCTCATTGCAACATTCATCAACCATGCTTCACACCCATACAAGAGTGTTGGTACAACTATACTCTCATACAATCCCCTCTTGTTTGTACAATCCCCTCTGTACTTTCATGGACAAAGTTCTTTGTCTCCACAGACTCCTAAGTGCACCACTCACCTCATCCTTCATAGACCCATCTGCTGACACGTCAACTTCTAAATATCTGAATACATTCACCCTCCATACTCTCTCCCTCCAATCTGATATCCAATCTTTCATCACCTAATCTTTTTGTTATCCTCGTCACCTTACTCTTTCCTATATTCACTTTTAATTTTCTTCTTTTACATACCCTACCAAATTCATCCACCAACCTCTGCAACTTCTCTTCAGAATCTCCCAGAAGCACAGTGTCATCAGCAAAGAGCAACTGTGACAACTCCCACATTGTGTTTGATTTTTTATGTTTTAACTCCACACCTTTTGCCAAGACCTCGCATTCACTTCTCTTACAGCCCCATCTATAAATATATTGAACAACCACGGTGACATCACACATCCTTGTCTAAGGCCTATTTTTACTGGGAAATAATCTCCCTCTCTCCTACATACTCTAACCTGAGCCTCACTATCCTCATAAAAACTCTTCACTGCTTTCAGTAACCTACCTCCTATACCATACACCTGCAACGTTTGCCACATTGCCCCCCTATCCACCCTGTCATATGCCTTTTCCAAATCCATAAATGCCACAAAAACATCTTTACCCTTATCCAAATACTGTTCACCTATATGTTTCACTGTAAACTCTTGGTCTACACACCCGCTACCCTTCCTAAAGCTTCCTTGTTCGTCTGCTATCCTACTCTCCGTCTTACTCTTAATTCTTCCAATAATAACTACCATACACTTTACAAGGTATACTCAACGGACTTATTCCCCTATAATTTTTGCACTCTCTTTTATCCCCTTTGCCTTTATACAAAGGAACTATGCATGCTCTCTGCCAATCCCTAGGTACCTTACCCTCTTCCATACATTTATTAAATAATAGCACCAACCACTCCAAAACTATATCCCCACCTGCGTTTAACATTTCTATCTTCACTGCCTCAAGAACTTCCCCCACACTCACAACTGACTCTTCCTCACTCCTACAAGATGTTATTCCTCCTTGCCCTATACACGAAATCACAGCTTACCTATCTTCATCAACATTTAACAATTTCTCAAAATATTCCCTTCATCTTCCTGATACCTCTAACTCTCCATTTAATAACTCTCCTCTATTTTTAACTGTCAAATCCATTTGTTCTCTATGCTTCCTCAACTTATTAATCTCACTCCAAAACTTTTTCCCTTTTAAAAAAGTTATACCTCCCCCCTCTTTTTTTGCTCTCTTTTTCTGTTTCCATTTTTTAACCTTTTTTTTCTCCCCTTACTTCCCCTAAAATTTTTTTTATATATTTGCCCCCCCTAAAAACTTTTTAACCAAAATTTCCAACATCTTTTCTAATTAAACCCACATAACCTTACTTACCCCACATTTATTTTTTATACTTAAAAATCCTCCTTTTTTTTTAAAATTCATTTTTTAACTTTAACCCCTTTCTTCATTAGTCAATAAAGGGTCTTATTTTTCTTGGCCCCAAAACTTAACCAAACTCTAAATTTTTTCTCCAATTAGCAATTTATTCCCCTACCTTTTCTTTTTACTTAACCCTCCAAAATTCTTTTTTTTAAAACCCCTTTCTTCTTTTCTAAAAGGGTAAATTTACACCTGGCCCCCCAAATTCCCCCCCCTTATTTTTTCCCAAATTGATTTTTCCCCCCAAAATTACTTCCCTTTCTTTCCCTTCCAAAACTTTCCTTTTCACTTTTTCTAGGTAAAAATTTTTGAACTTTTAATGATTTTTTTCCCCAAAACCCCGGAATTTACAATGTAATTTTTCTTTTTTGGGAAAAAGAATGTAAGTGTATTTTTGTAAGTGCTTTTGTAAGTGTATTTTTGGGGGTCTGAAACGGATTAATCTAATTTACATTATTTCTTATGGGAACAAATTCGTTCAGTAACGGCACTTGAACAGCATTCTGGAACGAATTATGGCCGAAACTCGGGGCACCAGTGTAGTTGTGAAAATATTTTCAGTAGTACATAACATCAGTAATAGTGCTGTATATAAGAGCAAACATGGTGTTAATGGAAACATGGCATTATTCAGCACAATTAGAAATATTTCAGTTAATAATTAAATAGCTCATTAAGTACAGTTTCAAAAATGTTAACCTTGTTGATATATTTCAGAAAGCACTATGAAGGCCTCACTGCGGCGATGTTCAGATCCACTCCGATGTCAGCACCTCTGGGATGCAATCACCACTATTCGCAATCACAAGCAGCTACCGTCATTTGACAGAATCCGACGCTATATGAGTCGGATGCATAACATGAAGTCTGGTAAGTACTATATAAAATTCATTTACAATGGAAGTGAGAGTAAATGGTGAAGAAAAGACCAACAACAGTATAAATGATAAAGACTTAAGTTGAATTTGAATATTGATCATAGATAAATCAAAGAGGTAATCATATTAGGCAAACCATGAAAAAGATAACCCAGTCTCCCTCAAATTCTTCACCCCCTCAGGAAGAAATTAACTTTTTCAGACAGCTATAGTAATACAACACGCTTCATATGGAAAGTCCTAAAACCAGAGGGGTCACTATTTATTTTTTATTTATTAACACATCGGCCGATTCCCACCAATGCAGGGTGGCCCGAAAAAGAAAAACTTTCATTATCATTCACTCCATCACTGTCTTGCCAGAGGGGGGCTTTACACTACAGTTATAAAACTGCAACATTAACACCCCTCCTTCAGAGTGCAGACACTGTTATAAAATGCTTCTCATCCAATAAAATTTGGGGAGTTATTTTCTACTCTATGATGTGTCAACCTTGCTCACCCAATCTTACAACATGATTCCAGGCAGGCAGGCAGGCAGGCAGGCAATTTACTGGCGCTTCTTCTATACTCTCGCTTATCTCTGTGTGAACAAGTGCTTCACCAAAATGTGTTAGAATCTTCCTTTAAATCTACAATCACTGCGACAATATAGAAATGGAATTAATCAGTGTTTCATGTGAGATAGTCAAATTATTGTAAAAATAACTGCAATTGGTAAGAGGTTCAGAATAACAATACCTTCATCAAAAAACTTACCTTGTCAGAAATAGAACAGGCCTCAGGTTCTATTCATCAGTCCAACTCTAATCAGTTTTTTTACTCCATTGTTTGTCTTCTACTAAGGCAGGGGGACCTGAAGAAAGGAAATGCTTTCACCTTCATTTACATATTCAGTTACTGTCTTGCCAGAAGTGTGTTGACATCACAATTCAGGCTCCCTCTTTCAGAGTGGAGACATGACCCTTCCCACCTCTAAGACTCAAATTTGGCTAACCAGTCTCATTGAATTTCTTCATAGATGTTGAACATTAAAATGGTATAAAATACCGACAGGTTGTTAGGTAAGACACATATGCAACAGTTAGGTATCTTTATTATGAAACATTTCGCCTACACAGTAGGCTTCTTCAGTCAAGTACAGAAAAGTTGATAGATGTTACCATGCTCACACTCCAACAACACGTCATTTTCCCCAGAAGAAAGAATTAAATTCCTTGACTCGGGTATACTTGTATATACCGGTGTGTACATTGTCTAACTCTTGTGGTGCTGTTAACAAATTTACAGAAGCCAAGAACATTTTTAAACATACATAAACTATTTATAAAAGTGAAGACCCATCTAAAATCATTAACTATAGGCTGATTTCCAACTTGCCATTACTATCTAAAATATTTGAAAAGTTAAATACACAAGGATATGAGAACCCAAAAAATTGTTGATCTAAGAAAAGCTTTTTATCAGAGGTTACAACATCCTCTCCCGACAACATAACCTTCATTCCCGTATTCAAAGAGCTTGTAGCTATGTACAAAGTATGACACCCTATGGTGTAATATTCAGTGATATTTACACTCAAAAACAATTTTTTTTTTTCAAACGTCGGCCGTCTCCCACCAGGCAGGGGTGACCCAAAAAGAAAGAAAATCCCCAAAAAGAAATGCTTTCATCATCATTCAACACTTTACCACACTCACCAATTATCATGTTTTTGCAGAGGTGCTTCAAATAACAGTTTAGAAGCATATACGTATAAAGATGCACAACATTTTCACTCCAAAACCCCTCCTTTAAAGTGCAGGCATTGTACTTCCATTTCCAGGGTTTAAGTCCTACTATATGAAAAATAACCGGTTTCCGAATCCCCTTTACTAAATATTACCTCTCAACTCCAACAGTTCGTCAGTCCAAGTCCATTTTCTCCATTCAATCTATCTTAACACGCTACACACGCTTGCTGGAAGTCCAAGCCCTAGCCCACCAAAACCTCCTTTACCCCCTCTCTCCCCCCTTTCGAGGCGACCCCTACCTCCCCTTTCCCTTTCCCCTTAGATTTTATGCTTTCCTTTGTCATTCTTTTTTTGATCCATTCCTCTAAATGACAAACCACCTAAAAAACCCTCTTCTGCCTCTGACTAATACTTTTATTAACTCCACACCTTTTCCTAATTTCCACACTCCAAATTTTTTCTGCATAATATTTACACCACCATTGCCCTTAGACAGGACATCTCCACTGCCCCCAACCTTTCTCCTCGCTGCTGCTTTTACCACCCAGGCTTCACACCCATATAAGAGTGTTGGTATTTACTATACTTTCATACTTTCCCCTTCTTTGCCTCCATAGATAACGTTTTTTGACTCCACATTACCTCAACACGCCACTCATTTTTTTTCCCCTCTTTCAATTCTTGATTAACCTATCCTTCATAAATCCATCCGCCGACATGTCAACCCCCAAGTATCTGAAAACATTCACTTCTTCCATACCCCTCCTCCCCAATTTGATATCCAATTTTTCTTTATCTAAATTCATTTGTACCCTCATCACCTTACTCTTTTCTATGTTCACTTTCAACTTTCTACCTTTGCACACATTCCAAACTCATCCACTAACCTCTGCAATTTTTCTTTAGAATCCCCCATAAGCACAGTATCATCAGCAAAAAGTAACTGTGTAAATTTTCCCATTTTGAATTTGATTCCCATAATTTAATCCCACCCCTCTCCCGAACAACCTAGCATTTACTTCTTTTACAACCCCATCTATAATATATTAAACAACCATGGTGACATACACATCCCTGTCGAAGACCTACTTTTACCAGGAAGTAGTCTCCCTCTCTTCTACACACCCTAACCTGAGCCTCACTATCTCATAAAAACTCTTTACAGCATTTAGTAATTACCACCTATTCCATATACTTGCAACATCTGCCACATTTGCTCCTCTATCCACTCTATCATATGCCTTTTCTAATCCATAAATCCCAATAAAAATTTCCCCTACCTTTATCTAAATTACTGTTCACATATTGCTTCAATGAAAAACACTTGATCTACACATCCCCTACCCACTCTGAAAGTCCTTGTCATTCCGCTTTCCTACATTCTGTCTTACCTCTAATTCTTTCAATTATAACCCTCCCGTACACTTTTCCTGGTATACTCAGTAAATTCTTCCTCTATAATTTTTATAATCTCTTTTGTCCCCTTTCCCTTTATATAAGGGACTATACTTTGCTCTCTGCCAATCCTAGGTCCCTTCCCCTCTTTCATACATTTATTAAACAAAAGTCCCAAACCCCTCCAACCTATATCCTCTCCTGCTTTTAACATTTCTGTCATGATCCCATCATTTCCCAGTGCTTTACCCCCTTTCATTTTACATAATGCCTCACGTACCTCCCCCACACTTACATCGTTTTTCTTCTTCACTCCTAAAAGATGGTAACCTCATGACCAGTGCATGAAATTACTGCCTCCCTTTCTTCCTCAACATTTAAAGTTCCTCAAAATATTCTCGCCATCTAACTAATACCTCTCTCTCCCCATTACTAACTCCCCCCACTCTGTTTTTAACTGACAAATTCATACTTTCCCTAGGCTTTCTTAACTTGTTTAACTCACTCCAAATTTTTTTCTTATTTTCATTAAAATTTCTTGACAGTGCCTTTTCCCACTATCTCTGCTCTCCTTTTGCACTCTCTCACCACTTCTTCAAACCTTTTCTTTTACTCTCCATATACTCTGCTCTTCTTATAACACTTCTGCTTTGTAAAAACCTCTCATAAGCTAACTTTTTCTCTTTTATCACACCCTTTACTTCATCATTCCACCAATCACTCCTCTTTCCCCCTGCCCCCCCCCTCCCATAACACAAACTTCTGCCCCACATTCTAATACTGTACTGCATTTTTAAAACTATTCCAACCCTTTTTCAACCCCCCACTACTCATCTTTGCACTAGCCCACCTTTCTGCCAATTTGTCGCTTATATCTCACCCGAACTTTCTTTCCCCCCTTAGTTTATACACTTTCACCTCTCTCTTACTTGTTGTTGCCACCTTCCGCTTGTCCCCTTACCTCTTACTCTAACTGTAGCTACAACTAAATAATGGTTTGATATATCAGTTGCCCCTCTATAAACATGTACATCCTGGGCCTACCCATCAACCTTTTATCCACCAATAATAATCTAATAAACTACTTTCATTACGTGCTACATCATACCTTGTATTTTTTATTTATCCTCTTTTTCATTAAAATATGTATTACTTATTACCAAAAACTCTTTCTTTCACATAGCTCAATTAAAGGCTCCCCATTTACATTTACCCTTTGGGACCCAAATTACCTACTACTCCCTCCATAACATTTTTACCCACTTTAGCATTGAAATCCCCAACCACCATTACTCTCACACTTGATTCAAAACTCCCCACGCATTCACTCAAAATTTCCCCAAAAACTCTCTCTCTCCTCTACACTTCTCTCTTCTCCAGGTGCATACACACTTACAAAAACCCACTTTTCACATCCAATCTTTATTTTATCCACATAATCCTTGAATTAATACATTTATAGTCCCTCTTTCCTGCCATAGCTTATCCCTTTAACATTATTGCTACTCCTTCTTTAGCTCTAACTCTATTTGAAACCCCTGACCTAATCCCATTTATTCCTCTCCACTGAAACTCTCCTACCCCCTACATCTTTATTTCACTTAAAGTCAGGACATCCAGCTTCTTCTCATTCATAACATCCACAATCATCTCTTTCTTATCATTTGCACAACATCCATGCACATTCAGACTTCCCACTTTGACAATTTTCTTCTTCTTATTATTTTTAGTAATCTTTACAGGAAAAGGGGTTACTAGCTCATTGTTCCCGGCATTTACAACACATTTACATTTACAACATTTACAACACGCATGTCTTACGGAGGAAAGATTCTTATTCCACTTCCCCATGGATATAAAAGGA